ACAGGGCCACCGTCAACCACGCCAACAACGGGACCACCGTCAACCACGCAAACAGGGCCACCGTCAACCACGCCAACAACGGGACCACCGTCAAACACGCCAACAGGGCCACCGTCAAACACGCCAACAACGGGACCACCGTCAACCATGCAAACAGGGCCACCGTCAACCACGCCAAAAACGGGACCACCGTCAACCACGCAAACAAGGCCACCGTCAACCACGCCAACAGGACCACCGTCAACCACGCCAACAACGGGATCACCGTCAACCACGCCAGCAGGGCCACCGTCAACCACGCTACCAACGCGACCACCGTCAACCAAGCCAACAGGGCCACCGTCAACCGCGCTAACAACGGGACCACCGTCAACCACGCCAACAGGGCCACCGTCAACCACGCCAACAACGGGACCACCGTCAACCACGCCAACAACGGGACCACCGTCAACCACGCCAACAGGGCCACCGTCAACTACGCCAACAACGGGACCACTGTCAACCACGCAAACAGGGCTACCGTCAACCACGCCAACAGGACCACCCTCAATCACGCCTACAACGGGACCCCCGTCAAGCACGCAAAATGGCTCACCGTCAACCACGCCACCAACGGGACCACCGTCAACCACGCCAACAGAGCCACTGTCAACCACGCTACCAACGAGACCACGGTCAACCACGCCACCAACGGGACCCCCGTCAACCACGCCAACAGGGCCACCGTCAACCACGCTACCAACGGGACCATCGTCAACCACGCCAACAGGGCCACCGTCAACAACGGGACCACCGTCAAACACGCCAACAGGGCCACCTTCAACCACGCAAACAGGGCCACCGTCAACCACGCCAACAGGGCCACCGCCAACCACGCCAACAACGGGACCACCGTCAACCACGCAAACAGGGCTACCGTCAACCACGCCAACAGGACCACCGTCAACCACGCCAACAACGGGATCACCGTCAACCACGCCAACAGGGCCACCGTCAACCACGCTACCAACGCGACCACCGTCAACCACGCCAACAACGGGACCCCCGTCAAGCACGCAAACAGGGTCACCGTCAACCACGCCACCAACGGGACCACCGTCAACCACGCCAAGAGAGCCACTGTCAACCACGCTACCAACGGGACCACCGTCAACCACGCCACCAACGGGACCCCCGTCAAGCACGCAAACAGGGCCACCGTCAACCACGCTACCAACGGGACCACCGTCAACCACGCCAACAAGGCCACCGTCAACCTCGCAGACAGGGCCACCGTCAACCACGCCAAAAACGGGACCACCGTCAACCACGCAAACA